AAATCACATGCTTAAAACAATCAATTTATTAGATATACCAACCATAAATTAGCTTTTTTTCAATTACGCTTTTTTTTTAAAATAATATATGTGTTAAGCCATTATCTATGCTATTGTAGCAAAGCTCCAATCCAGCTTTCCTTTAATTTCTAATTGTGATGTCGATTTTATCTTACCTGTGCTATCAAACTTTTTCCATAGGTTCCTTTTCATTAACCTGCGTCCCCTACCATAGTATTCATAAATATTTCTGGCATCGGATCGTTTGCTTTGCACATTCCCCAAGGCTTTGATGTCATCGTAGTTAGTAAGAGGTGCCATCCTAAGCTCGAAGTTACAACTTATCAAAATGATAACCATAGGCAATTCCCTTTACCAATCTTCTGTTTAATCGTTGTGTAATCATTTTTTCCTCCACATTACTTTTTTATTGTGTCTTCTAGTGCTGTATCCCTTTCTCCCAAGCCCACTTAATATAGCCCATTTACTTTTGCTATTCTGTGTTCTCGCTCTAATATTTCAGAATAGTGGTTTAAGTACTGCGTATTCGCCTTCACCATCGGTTTCAAATGCCATTCGAAGGCCTTCTCAATTTCATTTAGCCCCATTCTACACCACATATCAATTGTTTTCCGCCAGTCGGTAACACCCCTGTCTATCTTGCTGATCATGGCGCGTCGATTCCGGTCCCCGTTTACGTCATTTTGGAGGATCTATGAAACACTGGTCCCTTTTTTAATCACCTTTCCATTCTTTATTATTCTATTCGTTGATGTGTCCGGCTTCATTTAGAACCGCTGTTGTTATTGTTGTTGTCTTATCAGGCATCCCTCTAGACACGAACTTATTGTATACATGTTAATTGTCTGACTATACCTTGCTATTTTCTGATATTTAGAATTTTAAATCCTCAAATTTAGCTTTAATCAAACCGGTGGCTTACGCCGTAGTTCTCGTCGTGTCAAAACAATTGCTAAGGATCCCGATTTCATCGTAAATTTTGGTGACGATGATGAAGATTACTTGGAGCATGAAGACAATAAAGTGGAGGCTACTGGAGCTAAGAGTAAACAAAAGCCTCGGTCCAGAGATGGCGGCTTTTATATGCAAACTGAGGACGAAGAATACTATGAAGAGACAGAGGAAGATGGAGTCAATATGAACTGTGGTACTGCTTCCACTTCATCTGTTAGAAATAGACCGCATCAACGATATATAAAACTTCCCGAAGAGGATAAAGATTATCTCTTAGAAGATGAAGAGGAGGATTTTGGCCCTGAGGACTGGCGCGACCGTCGTATGAACGATCGTGATGCCAGGCGTCGACAGAATGCTGGCAGAACTCGTCCATCTAGGAATAAGGTCCATTTATTCCTTTTTATTATGAAATTATGAGCTCGTTACATTTGGTATACTTAAAATTTATATAATTATTATTTATTTTCTCTGAGCAAGCGAGAAATTACGATAATATATCTTTAAACAATATCATCTTCCATATTTTTTTTCACTGTATATCATTATTATATTTCGTTTTGCGTAGGTTTTCTAGACTACCAGTAAATCCGTCACATGAGATGTAGTCACTTTTTTTCGTTTAAGGTGATGAAGGATTGGTAATTGACTTTTCCCCAAATAATATGAGTTGAGTTGACGTTTCCGTGCAATTTCACATAGCCGTGATTTTCAAGGTGTTCTCATTCTGAATGAAGGATTGACTGCAGTTTTGACCTCGCCTAGGTCTTATCAACACCCCCTGCGGGAGTCGAACCATGATTGTGCAGCGTGTAATCTCGAAAGCTTAACCACTACGCCAAATTGTAATGAGTGCCCTTGAGTCACAGTGTAGATGTTAATTTCAAATGTTAATTTCCAATACCACATTCTGTGGTGGGACTATCGATGAAGCAAACTTATATTTGCTATAGCAATCGACGACATTACTTATATTTCGTTTTAAGTAGGTTTTCGAGACTACCATCTTTAATCACCTTAAACGAAACAGGGTGAATACATCTCATATAACTGATTTAATGTTAGTCTCGAAATATAAGTTATGTCGTCAATTAATATAGCAAATACAAGTTTGTTTGATCTAAAATCTAACCACATAATGTAATATTGGTAAATGCTTGGCCTTCCTTGAAATTCAGATCTGCCCTGTAACCCAAAGGCAGTAGTGGCAATGTGGTTTAGTGGTCAAGGTATTAAGATTACAAATTACATTGCTATAATTGACTACTGCTGAGGGTGACGATAAGACCTAGGCGGTGTCAAACCTGCAGTCCACTTTTCATCCGGGATAAGAACATATTTTGGGAAATCAAGGCTATGTGAAATTCCATGGAATAGTCAGCTCTCCACATATAATTCTGAGAAAATTCAACTACAAGCTTTCATCACCTTAAAAGAAATAGGATGAATACATTTCATTATTATCTTTACTTTGCCAGGCATCCTCGCGCAGTAACTGACTTATA